AAGTTAATTGTCCTCAGTCAAAATTACATGGAAAGTATACAGGTAAAGTTAATTGTCCTCAGTCAAAGTTACATGGAAAGTATACAGGTAAAGTTAATTGTATTCAGTCAAAATTACATGGAAAGTATACAGGTAAAGTTAATTGTCCTTGGTCAAAATAACATGGAAAGTTTACAGGTAAAGTTAATTGTCCGGCTCAGTTAAAGTTACATGGAAAGTATACAGGTCAAGTTAATTGTCCTCAGTCAAAATTACATGGAAAGTATACAGGTAAAGTTAATTGTCCGCAGTCAAAATTACATGGAAAGTATACAGGTAAAGTTAATTGTCATCAGTCAAAATTACATCGAAAGTATACAGGTAAAGTTAATTGTCCTCAGTCAAAATTACATGGAAAGTATACAGGTAAAGTTAATTGTCGACAGTCATAATTACATGGAAACTATACAGGTCAAGTTAATTGTCCTTGGTCAAAGTTACATGAAACTATTCTGAAGGAATCCATAAATGTATCAAATGGCTATCCTAGAATTAGTATGTGATGTTCAAAATCATTTATGACCTGGGGAAAAGTTCTCCATGTGCAACCCTGTCTTTACCGACATAGCCCTGTTAGTTAGACCAAACATTCAGGTCCTCCATGACATCTGTATGTGGTTTTATACAGAGTTCCAGCAGTAAAGTCTGGTTTTAGTTTCAGTTATTTCCTTGTGCCATAAGACACATTGGGGGGTAGACATTACAGAATGATACAATGTTATACATTATAATTGTACACCAATTTACAATGAATACACCATACACTGTACATGTTTTGTTACAGCTGTGCATGGAGACGTTTTGAACAACGATGGCCAGCCTATAAAAAATGCAACACTAAAGGTGGATCACCACTCCATGGTCATTCCTACCTCCGACAAAGGAGAGTTCTACATTATCCTCAGTGCAGGATCTCACACCCTTGAGATATCTGCTGAAGGTATGAAAACCATTAAAAAAAATGTAGATGTAGATATAACAAACAAATATTTAGTTGATTATTTTATCATAAAACACAGTGATTTAAGAATACACTTTTAACTGATTGTATGATTTTAAGGTCACATGTAATAAATAAATAAGTAATACGACTTATACATGTTCGTCTAATGTTACAGAAACCACAAGATTTTCATACAAACACATGCAAGTGTGCATAGCCAAATAACAAAGTATTCTAGCAGAGCTATATATGATACTTTAGATAAACAACAAAATGTTCTAGTCGGGCTATATGGTACAACATTCCCACATACATGTGATACAAGGTTCTGTATTCTAAACCCATTATAATACATGTGAGTAGAATGAGCTCAACAGCTAGATATATAATACATCTCTGGTTGTAGGTTATGAGTCACAGACCCAGCAGGCCCTGATTGAGGAGGGCAAGTCTTTCAGTGTCAAAGTATCCCTCAATAAGGAGCTGGATAAGATGGACTTCCACAGTCCTGGTACAGTGGGGCCTTTCCTCACCGATGTGGCCTCAAAGTGTCCCGACATCACAAATCTGCACAGGTAACTTTCTGTGAAAATGTTTAATTATAAAACAGCAGTATTGAATTTGATAAATCAACAGATTAGCTAGCTACATGACCAGGTAAAAGATTATTAAAAATGATACAAGGTAGCTAAATGAAGATAATTTACATAAACAAAAGAACAAATAATATGTCACTTATACTTTATACAAGGATGACAATATTAACTTATGATTTTAGCATTGGTAAATCCCCAAAGAGCCACGACCTATGGATGCTGGACATCGGATCTAAGAAACCAAGCGACCCTTCGTTGACCCACGTCCTGTTTGTGGGTGGTATCCATGGTAATGAGGTAGTACCTACAGAACTGCTATTACAACTGGCCTACGACCTCTGTGAGAACTACAAGAAAGATTTCTTAATCACCAAGGTGAGTTCTGGTAGTGATTGGTTAGGTTTTTTGTACCTGAAACCAATGAAATGGCTTACTGTGAGCCTTTGATTTTTTTCAGAACATACTCGTAGGGGGCAGATAGGACAGGTGTATTGAGAACGAAATTCATGATTTCAAATATAGCATCTTAACAAAAGTTCTATTTTGACTTTCACCACTGGTCTTAAAAGAATATTTAAACACTGTGTAAAGATTTGAATATTTTGTTTACAGTAGATTTTTTACTTGTTTATTGATAGTCTTAGTTTAACAAATTGAAAATTCGTTCCTGTTTTTTCTTACAGACATTGAATAGTTCTGTAATACATATTGTACCAAGCCTGAACCCTGACGGCGCCACCATCGCCGTGGCAGGAGATTGTAATGGAAAATCAGGAAGCAAGAACTCCAACGATGTGGACCTTGATATGAATTTTGACAGTAAGTCATAAAGTTGATATTGATTTATTTAATGCGTGTTCCTATAAATATCATTCCAAAATCATTACAACACAGCATTTAGTTATATCACACATGTAATGTTCTAAGACAAATTCTATACATAATAGTTCTTCACCATACAAGCAGAAGACTATTGTGTTAGCAACTTGATGCAATTAGAGATAACGAGAAACATCAACAATCAGAATGTATCATTATCTGTGAAAGACTTTGAATTTTTGTAAAATTAGTTGATTGTTCTATATAAAAGGAGAGAGAGAAGAACATATGTTCTATATAAAAGGAGAGAGAGAAGAACATATGTTCTATATAAAAAGAGAGAGAGAAGAACATATATTCTATATAAAAGGAGAGAGAGAACATATGTTCTATATAAAAGGAGAGAGAGAAGAACATATGTTCTATATAAAAGGAGAGAGAGAAGAACATAGAGTTTCCTGATTGTCAGAGCCGTATGATAAGTCGTTATTAGTGGGATGGCTATAGGCATAGTACCATGCCTTTTTATCAGGGTTCTTCATTAGGGTTTTCAGAATACTTAGATTATCTTTGTTTGATTATTTTATTTGTATTCTTCTCTATTTCCCTAGGTAAGTATGTCAACAGGAGTGGGGCCCAAGAGGAGGAGACAAGGGATCTGTCTGAGTGGATGAAAGAATCGCCTCCCACTGTCACTGTCATTCTCAGTGGGAGTCTGCTGGGGGTTACGCTCCCATACCGTTCAAACAACCCCAATGGTGAGTTATCTCCCTTTGTTTCAATTATAATGAGTTTGCCAACACAAAACAAAAGTTACATTAATTATTTTCACTTGGGGTACATATCCCTAATGGTATAATAGAATTTCTTTCTGTCATTAGAGTATTGAAAAGAAATTTCAGTCATCAGTTTCAGATTCTTAATAAATTGCTAAACCTAAGGCTTACCAATGGTTTGACTCGCATACTCCCATGATTGTGAATGGTAACTTTGAAAAATTATTTTTAGGAAAAATGAAAAAAAAATCCTTTACCAACCACCTAGCTATATGGTTTGACGTCGTTTGATTGTAAAAACTGATGTCATTAAATTGTTGACATTAAATGTGAAGTCATAAGTGTGTGTAGCTTATCTGTGCTCTTCCTTGTTGGAAGAGAAATCTCCCAAATCTAAAACGAAAGAAAGAAAACATTGTAAGGTGGGAATTCAAGGGTTACCTCCCACCAGAAAACTGAAGCCATACATAGTGATAATTCAAAGAAATTTTGATTTTAAATTGTGATCTATGGGTGATTGTTTTACAGATGTATAAAAGTAGAACATTTTGTTACCGCATTTTTTTCAGCCACCCTGACGGCTACAGAGAAGGTGATACTGGACCACTTAGGAAAGACTTATACCAACAGTCATCCTTTGATGAAGGCCGGCAAGACGTCCTGTAATAATTCTGGTAAGAGTGACAGTTCCATTATTTGTTCAGAATGTCTTGCCATTTTACTGTTTTATTGAGCCAGAGTGTCCCAAAATCATAGTTTACAAAATAAAAAGTTTTCTAATTCATTAATGATATGTTAATTTAGGGGTTTCTCTACATGTGTAAGATGTCATGAATTTTAGCCTTGATATTACCAACAGTGTTACAGTAATACTGCATGTGTTTTTACAGAACTTAAAAATCCATATATTTTGTTGTCAATTGATAGAATATTACAACAAGCCTGTATAAGATTCCTCTATAGATATGTATGCATGTGTAGCTAGCTTCCTACTTGTTGTAGATGAAAGTGATGATTTAAATCAGGCAGTACAGTTGTAATGTGAAGTGTTCAAGTTTTTGGCAGTTATGACTTTACAAGCTTACATCAGTGCAAAAATATAAAGTCCTTAGTGAATGTAAATGTTTCTATTTAATAACAAGTCATACGTGATACCATTCTCAAACAGATCAGCTGTTACAATCAGCCTCTTGTTGAATGGCAAAACAGGTGACAGAAATATCTGAGGGGATGTATCACTGTTTACTATGTGGTGTTGATAGGACACTAACCATACTTACTTTTATCTACAGATGTTCAGTTAACCAACAGTGTAGTGGCCGCGTCCAAAGTCCATCCACACGATGGCAGTCTGTTGGTAAGTACACAATGATTGTCGAGTCATGACACTGTTAGTTGTTTGTATATTTTCTCAATTAAAAATTAAAAATTCTAAAACCTAATTACTTCTACCTTAAAAACAATTGCTAAAAATCCTAAATTCTTATTTTCAAATATTTTTTTAAACTAGTACTATTTTGAAATTTGGACTGATTATATGTTGTTCTTACTTATCATTCAAATTTGTGAAAATTCTCATTTCACTCAAGAATTTAATATCAACAAAAACTACTTAATTTTATAACTTTTCTCATCGTCAGTCATCAGTATATATACCTATGATTAATTACAGGTAAAACATCAAATTAGTGTTAAAAGTAACTGATTGATTGGAAGCATGAACAAACCAAACTTGTTCCTCACATCAAATGCAAGACTTTGTATATTAATATTTTTCCTTTAAAGTTGTTTTCTCCAATTGATCTTGTGTCTGCCACAGTGGTGAACCATCTCATCCCTTATGGTTATCGACTGCGCTAGGAGAAGTTTTTCTGTATCAATAGAACACTGGAACAGTTAGTTGTAGTATTGGGTTTGACTTGTAGTCTCTTTGAAGCAATGGCATGTGATACATACCCTACATATTTTTTACCTTTGTTCAATCATCATGCACTTCATGATCTCAACTCAATGTGTTGATGGACCTTTAGATATTATAATTGAAATACATGCAATTCCTTTATCAAATAATGATTTCTTTATTGAAACATAAATAAATCAACAAAATCTCAAATATATAAATTTAATAATTTGAATGTATTTACTTCCAGGACTTTTCGTACAACTCAATTGGATCTACAGCGATAGAGGTGTACACATCATGCTGTGCCTACCCTGACGGACATAAACTTCTGGCAGCATGGCATGAACACCGGACGCCACTCCTTGACATCATTAAGGAGGTACGGTACATTGATTAACATCATCCAGATCTAGTTAAAAAATATGCCTCCACATTTGGGGAGAAATAAATCAACGATGCAGACTTCAGTATTTTTGAGGTAGCAAGCACCCTATGGTTAAGTGGAAAGGAGGGATTGTGAAAACTTTGATAGAAAATTGTCAATTGTTTGATATTATTTTGAAATTAGCACATGTACAAATATCATAAAGCTCAAAGAGATTCATGAATTACAGTTTAATCAAATATTCAGGCTACAATGTCATAACACATCACATGAAAAAGGAAAGCACCATCGCTAATAATTGGAAAATGTTCACCCCAACAAATTTCTGTTCTGTTATGTATCTAAATAGATATACCCACTAACATTTAATACATTCTATATAGGTCTTATATTGTATGGAGAAATAAATAGATACATTCTATAGACGATGGACACGGGAGTAACATGTTTATGTTGCAGGCTACTCGAGGTGTGAAGGGATATATCTATGAAGGAAAACAGGACAATCCTATGGTCAATGCCACGGTCACTATAAAGGGTTCTCGTCATCAATATCCAGTTGATCCAATTGGTTACTACAACCTTTATCTGGCCCCTGGTCACTACACATTGGTGGTCAAATGTGAAGGACATGAGACTCTGGAAAAGGTAGGTCACAAACATAATCTCTGGAAGGTCTAATTATTCCAGTCCAGTGGCATTATGCAAGCATGGATACCAGAAAATTCCTGGAAATGATTATGTCAGTTGCTGGTCCCATGGTGATTATTAATACAAATTTTAACTCTGATATTCAGGATGCCTTGTTATATAGTTGTGAGTTTTTATTTCTTTTTTAGGTAATTTTCATGTAATCATATTTTATTGATTGAACAACTTAAAAAAAGTTTCTCAATTTCAAATCGTGTGCAAAATAAGCAAAGAGGGAACTTGTCATTTATGTAATTGTCAATACATTAACAACATACTTTGGGGTTGGTTTTCAGAATGTGATTATTGCTGATGGTGAACCAAAAGTGCTTCATCTGAATGTTGTCATGGAAACCAAGAAGTCTGAATTAATTATTTCTACCTTTGCCATAGTTGCAATCCTTGGTAAGTACTATCCATTGCCTACTCAATCTTCTCTTTCCACGTTCTTCCTCTACCTTTCTTCTCCTTGGATCTCCTCACCCACTTCCCAACCTATATCCTTCCTTCATTTCCTCCTCCCTCTTACCATCCCACTTTGATCTATCTCTAAAGCACCTTCATTTTCTCTTCCCTTTAGCTCACCTGCCCAAAGGGCAGAAGAAGACCTTGACTTTCTTTCAAGGTCACAGCGGTCAAATATGTCAAACTCTTAAAACGACTTCTTAAGAAGAACTAAAAAGTATAGAATCTTCATATTTGGCTGATGGTTTCCTGAGATAGAGCCCGGCAAAGTTTGAGACTGAAAATGACCTTGACCTTCTTTAAAGGTCACAGGGGTCAAATTTGTCAAAAACATCAAATGACTTCTTCTGCATAATCGAAAGGCATAAAATTATAATATTTGGCTTGTGACTTCCTGGGGTATAGCTCACCAAAGTTTGCGAATGAAAATGACCTCAACCTACTTTAGAGGTCACAGAGGTCAACAACATTTTAAAAGATTTGTTTTTAAGAACTTAAAGGAATGGATTCATAGGGTTTGGCTGTTAGCTTTTTGGAGTAGAGCTAACCAATTTGAGAAGGAAAATGACTTTGACCTACTTACAAGGTCACAGGGAAAAATATGTCAAGCAACTTCTGAAGAAGAATAAAAAAAAGGATAGAATCTTGTAATAATATTTGGCTGGTAGTTTCAACAGATTGAGCCGACAAAGTTTGCGAGGGAAATATTTTTTTAGTGCAATATAATAATTAATGAGAATATTTTGCTATGACTGCTTAAATATTCAGGTGAGCAATACAGGCCATCTGGGCCTCTTGTTATTTCCATGCCTGTGTATAAATTCGTCCACACTCCTTTCCTTCCTTGCTCTTCCTTCTACACTCCATTCTCCTTTTCCTGTTATTCCCCTCTCCACCCTAAACCCTTCCTTTCTCTTCTCATCCCCTCCCTCCTTTTCTTTCTTTCTCTCCCCCTTCCTTCCCCAGTCACATCCTCTTCCTGGCTTCCTCTTTATCTCCTTGATTAACCCCTTCTTTTGTTCTCCTCTTTCCTAATTATCTTATTTTTACATCTCTTTCATTAAGCTCCCCAATCCTCCTGAAGATTATCTCTGATGTTGAAATTCTCATCTTGTGTAATATAAGAGCAAGAGGATGAAGCTTGAAGAAAGGAAAATTTCTATTTTTTCAATTCAATAAATGCCTTAGAATAGAAGTGACTACAAATTCTTAAAACTTCAAAACTACAGAGATGATGCACACCTTTGAATTTTCATTGCAAAGTTTAACCTATATTAAAGTGTTCTCGTTTGTTTCTTATATTTTGACTAAAGAACCTTTTTTGTTGTTTTACAGGAAGTATTACTCTTGCTATAGTCCTCTTGATGACTGTTCTGGTCTGTGTGCGCTCTAGGAGGGGGCCTGGTAAGGGGGGATTTCATCGCCTTAGTCTCAATGACGACGACGACGAGGGGGAAATCTACGACATGGGATCAAAGTCAAGTTTGTTAACCACTCGTGAATACCACGATGACAGCTCTGACGATGATGAACACAATATGTATGATAAACGGTTAATACGTCGTTAATATTGGTCAGGGTAATGTCTTCAGTTATGAAGATAAAAATATTATCAAGATATATATAATCTTGCCAAGAAAAAAATATGTATTTACAAACACAAGAGCAAGAAACAATGAACAAATCATTGTTTTATTGTTTGTGAATAATGTTTTTCTAGAAGTAGTTCTCACATTCCGTTCCAACACACCACCTGTTAACCCTTTCACCCCTATGTAACTTTAGTAGACTACCATGCATTGATATGGATGAGTCCATTATGGTCGACAGTGGTGAAAGGGTTAAAATGTATATTTTGAGATTACTGGTCCAGATTATGGTCTTTCAGTTACTTAAAAGCATAATGATTAATGAGAACTTTGGCGTGAGAATTTCGCCAAATTATGTTTTGCTTTATAAGTACATGTTGATGCCTTTTTTGTGTTATTTACAAAAGATAAAAAGGACTAGCCTCCATATAGGGTGACGGTGAAGATATGTATTAATCTTCTTTTTGTAATAGCTTTAGAACTTTAGGAAAGAAACATTACACTTAAGTCTAGGTATGATCCTGGAGTGTTTATTATGCATTAAGTCCCAAGAAATATTCAGAAGTGTGAAAAAGCTGTTTACCAAACCAGTGACATTACTATAGAAAGATGGGAGGATTGTTTTATTCACATTGAAAATGGAATTTGTTATTAGTTATGAAAAAAAATAATAGTATTAATGTTTAATTGCTTTAAATATTTTCACTGATTTTAATTGAATAGAATGTAATTAATGATTGGAACTTTAGGAAAACTTACCATTTTCAATCATATTTCATAGAAAAAAATCTGTATGTAAGATTTTCAAAGTGTAATTTGTGTGTTTAGCATGTTTTGGATGAACTAATTGTATTAGTATATTGTCACTATCAGAACTTGAAGTACAGCATGAACATAATATTCTATCGAAAAATTACATTTTCTTTTTCTAGATACATAGTTCATATAAATTTTGTTCATCCAGACACTCTCAGTTATACATGCAACAACTTTTTGAAATCTGGAGTTTTATAAAGTGTGAATTTTTACTACAATGCCAAGAAAATGCTAATGATATGACAGAATTATCCAGATATTAGTATCTGAATCCTATCTTATGGGACCATTGACATGCTTGACTTATAAGGGCTTATTATTACTGATGTGCATAGAAATGATTTAAAGTCAATTGAAATAATGATCATCAAAAGTATGCAGATATTTTCGGAAACTACCTAGTAGTCAAACTTATTGTCTTTTTTTCGATTTGCTTCTTAAAATGTACCTTCTTGAAATATATCTGTGAGAGTGAAAATATATTGAGCTACTGATGGGATAGTACCAAATCTCATTTGATGAAATTGTATCAAAAGTCCGTCCTTTAGATGAGTTATTTTCAAGACTTCGTAAATTTTAGTAATCGGGTACATGTGCAAAAATGTGAACAAATTTTACTCAGATTTAATAGTGATACAATGTACTACTCCTGATAGAATTTAAAATAATTTTATTTTTCTATAGTCGACTAGATGTTTGTGGAGAGAGCGTCACTGGTTTGGTAAATACAAGGATGTACTAGTATCTGTGAAGGTATATGTACACTAAGGGCGGCGTACCACTTGTGTTAACTATTGCAGGGGTCAAACCTTTCAGTGATGGCGCATGTCACTGACACATGGACTTTTAAGGAGGAAGGTCACCTAACTTGTACATCAAATAGTGTTTATCACTGTCGCAGTGTTTCATATTTAAGGTCAAGGACACAGCAGATAAGGAAGATCAAGGTCGTTTTAGGGATACATACAAATATTCCAGAAAATAGATCAATCCTGAAAAAGGATAGTTCAGGAATATTTAGGGCACATACCAGTGTCTAAAACTCTGGATATGTAACTGATGTATGAGAAAGTTCTAATAAACAGATCCATAGTACACAATTCATTCAGCATAGGTTCATATCAGGGACCAAAGTAAAATTACTCAGGACTAATTACAAAAACCTGAAAGCTACTTAAATAAGCATACATCACAGTACTTGAAACATACATGGTCATATCAATAATACGGGTGACCGCTTTATGTTCACTTCACCTTCATTTCTTGCTTATTTTGACCTTTGGCCCCAGATCACTGTATCCCTTGACCTATAACCTTTGATTATATCAAAATTTTTATCATGACACAATTGTAGAATTCTTATCACACAATTTCAGATATGTCTGCTGGCTTTGTCTCCTTGACCTTGATTCCTTACTACTTCACCTTTAACCCCTAATAAATTTGAATTGACCTTTGACCCCTGCAGTGATTGGATGACACAATGTGGTACAAGGTAGTACACCAGAACACTTACCACAGTCTGTGATACTCATTGCTACATTAATCTCATTCCACTAGGTACATGGGATCACATGTATATGATACAAAAATTGTACAGTTAAAACACTATATTTTTCCCAATGGAGAATTTTTTGTTTGTACATAAAATGGAATGAATGATAACAATACCTAATTGTATGTGATTGATACATATTACATTATATTAATATGGATATCTAACAGCTGTTTTTGAGAATTTTTCAGAAAGCTTTGTGTTCAGGTTTCCCCTCTGGATCCATGTTTAAAATTTTCTTCATTAGCTTTATGACAACTTAATGTGAAATGTTCATCTAGTATATTTTAAGGAATATTTTATTTCAATTTGAATGTTCAAAAACAAATAGCACCAAAATAGATTTTTTTGCATAATTTTCAAAAAAAAATATTTTGAAATTTTATGTTTATAAGTCGTTGCTCTAGCCAGGCTTTAGACGAAATATCAGTAGTCAAAATTATCTTTGTTCAGTTAATGATTTACTGTGATTGTGTGTTCAAATTACACAAACCTGTAGTGATATGTAGGAAGTACATGTTTCTGCACCCCTAATAGATTGTAAAAAGTTCATGTTTGATTCCAGTTATTCAAAGCTATGATTCAAAGGCCAAAAAACAAATTGTTTCAGAATTACATAAATAGAAAAGTATTTTCATAGTCAATTTGTGCTGCACTGATTACGTCATGAGTAGACACAGGATGTAATTCTCTCTGGTAAAAGTGAATTCAAGATCCCTATATATAAAACTATTTGCTGCACCTATAAAGTCCACATCCATGTCTTCAATAATTGTTCTATCAGTAAATTCAATGACAGAGGTACAACTATACCATGATATGTTTTTAGGATGGATAGACTGGTTATACACAATGTATTTGTTTAGACCTTAGTTTACCAATTATCACACAGATTTATGGGAACTTTTGAAATACCTACATTAAAATTCATACTTTGTAAACTCAAAAATAATTATATGAGCAGGACTTAAGTTAATTTACCAAATAAAGAATTAAAGCATAAAAGGCATTAGTGTAGTGACAAAGTACTCCTATGGTATAATCAGTTGTTTATAGTCTTATGGTAAAAGGAGATTTTTCTGCCACAAATTTGGAAAAAAAAAAGAAAAAAATGAAAACTTGTTACAGAAATAAATGTTCATAGATTTAGACTAAAAGGACAACATTATGAAAATGAACATTATATATAAAAAATACAAAGCTTTGAGCAGCCAAGTAAATCACTTCTGACTGATAGAGCTGGCTTACTGTAACAATATTCAATCTATTTATATCTATGTACTAGTATTGGTATACATCCTACCTCTGAGACCAGAATAGTTCTGTACTAAAATGTGAATTACCTTTGCAATCTTTTGATAAGAAAAGACTACTGCTGACATAAAGTTACTTACACTAAGAATTACACAGTTAACCTGGGACTTACAAACTTAGCATACATATTGCTGGTCAGTTGATGTTACTTAAGTGTATGTTCTAGCTATGATTTACTGTTACTTAAGTGTATGTACTAGCTATGATTTACTGTTACTTAAGTGTATGTACTAGCTATGATTTACTGAGATTTTGTGCATGTTTCTATAATTCTCCAGTTTCATTAAAAAATCTAAGTCTTCCCATTGTTTTCAGTAGTGGTTCAATTCTCAGAAATTTTGATTTAAAACAAAATTCATTTCAAGAAAAAAACTCTTTTGTGTTATTTTGCCAGTTCAGTTTATGTAGAATTGTCGTGCCTCGGCCTGCTGAAGGTTTGGCTTACACAGGTAGCCAAGACTAAAAGTGTATGTATGTTGACCAACTTACATAATGCACATTCAGGTGATTAGCTTTATTAAATAGTTGTCAATTACTTTGCCTACTTCATGTAATATATAGGGAATGTGAACCTTAACAACTATTTTGTGTTTGTTAATGTGAAAATGACATAATTGTGCTGACAGGATTGAACTTTCTTGTCTTTTAACGTAAACACCAAAGTGAGTTACAGATGTTTGGATAATTTTTTGCTTTTGTGTTAATCATCAGTATTCATACCAAGATACAGCCAATCCAAATATAACCAAAAATAAATAAACGTTATTTCTGAGTCTTGGTTACCACAATGTTTATCATCTGAAATTTGTTACATTTTCTTTGGAAGGAGAAAAAGCTGAAAGCAGATTGTACTTAAACTAATGATGGCCTAGATTTTAACTCACCTGATCATTACAACATAAATTATACAAATTTTTTAAAATTTGATGGATGACTCTTGTTCAGTCTGAAACCTCTAATTGGTCTTATTGCTGAAAGTGAAAAGACTATGTTGCTGTAGATTGCTATACAGGCTTACTGTACTTTAAGAGAGGAAATTACTAAGACTTAATATAAAATCCAGTCTAGACAGGGATCCAGATAAGACAGTTAATGCCAGTTTAGACAGGTGATACTGTACTTTGAAGTATGTCAACTTTAAGGGTTTTGTATAGCATGAAATTGTTAGACATAAATATATTTACATTCACAAAAGATACAGTGATAAAGTTAACATATCGCCCGACAGAGTGAATGAAACAATACAGAAGAAAATACAAACAAAGAATGCTTCATGTTATCCAGGTACCTTTATATGAAGGTTTCACTTATGACAGTTATTTTGTTTGTGATGTAAATAAAACATTATAGAGATTGGACTATTTTTTAGAATGATACAATACAACATGTTTCGAATTACCAAGAATTTACAACGAATTTTTTTTCTTAATTAATAGAAAATGACATTCACATTGTTTTCAATAACAGTTCTTAAATATGAAATTGATGAAATTTTGAAACTAAACTTCCTTTTTCCTAATCTTTGAATGTTGTTGCATCTTTGAAACTTTTCAAAGGATTATTTTAAACATCAAGAAAGGCATATTTTTGAAATAGGAATATACAATGTTCTGATTTAAACTTATTTAGTCCAGAAAAATATTTTTATACAGAATTGTTTGTTTTTGTTTCTATAAATTATTATATTTCAGATACATAGTATTTATGTCTTGCATTGGGAAATATGCACAGTGTATGTATGTACTTAACACTTCGAACTCAAAACAGTTGTTTACTATTGTCTATATACAGGGTAAATGATAATTGTTCATGATATCTATCCTTTTGAGATAATTTCCACGGTGCACCAGGTAGTTTATATTTTTAAATAAACATGAGAACAGAGATATAACAAAATCAGATACCATGGAAAACTAAACAAAGATAGAAATGTCCAAACAAGTGATTTTACACTGCAAAACTTTCAGTAATAACAGGATATTTATACACCCTCCGATATAAAGAACCTCGACTGTAGAGAAAAGGAACTTTATCCTACTAAATATTGTATTAAGTCAACATTCAGTCTTATCAGAAGATTACTTTGTGACCTGCCAATGTCTAGTGAGGTCAGCGACCGGTCAATTTAAGGTTATCTTACTCTTACCTTGGTCAAAAACATTCTGTAATAAACAGATCAGTTGACCTTACCTGTTGTTAGAAGATTTGTTAGTATATCATTTGTTATAAAATATAGCCTGTTTACCGTCAGAGAAATATTTCATGGTAATTAAAAGACTTATATCAAACCATCAAGATTACCTGTTATTTACAGTATTTACTCAATGTAATCATTCATCCAAAATTGTACTTAAAGTATTAACGATGCTGAAGTTGTCAAGCTTTCTAGAATCTGATATTTGTTGTCAAGACAAAATTGTTGATAATTTAAATACTTAAGGTAATCTAGTCATTGTGTGTTGGAAGGTCTTATTCTCGTACAACCAAAACAAGTAACCAAAACAAGTCGTTTCAGGTGTAAGATATTCAATCCAAGAAACATAATGTATTCTATGTATATGTTTATGTTCCTATGCTGAAGGATTTTTTTCATCTGTAAATATAGTTTCTAATTAAAATTTAAAATTACTGTTGATGCAAACTGCCTTTATGAAATGTGACATAGTTTGATATATAAAAGATGTAATGCGTATACATGTAAGATATTTCCTGCACAGTTAATTTCCCCAGATTTTTCTGTGCTTATTACTAGGATTTAAATGTTTAAATTAAGGGTCCATGGACCACTGCCCAAAACTCGAAGTGTTGAAAACTGGGTTTTTTCTCTGCCTATAGCTTTGATGAATCATTTCTGAAATGAAAACCCTACCGTGCTTGAATTTTATGAGAAATAACAGATATGTAATTACATATATATTAAAAATATAAATCAACAAGTGTTCTGAGTGTAAAAATAAGATATAAATCAACAAGTGATCTAAGTGTTAAAATGAGATATAAATCAACAAGTGTTCTGTGTGTAATAATTCAGCGGGTCCAGTATAGGATTCAAACCCTGGACTTCAGATTGTTATATTTTCGCTCTATCTGATCCAGCAACCAGGTCAACAGAAGTGTCTTGGCCCAACTGTGCTACCGTTATTCCGTCTGCGTATTGCAGAGTTATCTTCTCTTGGGAGCAGGGATTGATTGTTACGTCATTGGTTTGTGTGAGAAAATTACGTCGTTTTCTCAAAAATTGATGACTTTACCCTCACAAACAAGTGACGTAACAATCAACACCAGCTCCCAAGAGAAGATAACTCTGCAATACGCAAAGACGGAATATCCAGACGAAAGTTAAGGAGAGCTTATAATTACTATAAATAGGAAAAAACACATTGCCGTGGACAGGGACCCTTACCATGTGTTTAAATGATGTATGATACAGTTGATGCTTTAATATGCTGCATTTAATTCATGCAAAATAAGAAAATAAAGATCAGACAGGTAATCTACAGTAGTTGTTACTGTAAATGATAGGTATTATTCTTAGATGTACAAACTTATTTACAATAAAATGTACTTTGAAGCTTCTAGTTTTGCAGGGTTCTATTTTTGCAGTCAATTCCTGAAAACAGTGAATTAATTAATATTTTGTCATATCTAAGAACTTTATCAAAGGTAATACTACAATAAACTAAAGAGATACTGTTCTTTGTGTAAAGCATAATATTGAACCAACGAAAAAAGAAAGAAGTTCAACTTACCCTTTGCCAAATTGTTGATAATTAATAGTACTAGGGTGAACGTGTTTGCACCACATTGCCTTTGTCATTATTGTTATATGTACTTTGATTTCTATGCATATTCATAACGTCTTTGTATATTTATGCTTGGAATAATTGTTTTTCACCTTTTCAAATCTAGACCATTTATTTTGTTTTCCAACCTCAATTGGTTTTCTATGATTTTTAGAGTACATGAGCTATGAAAATAATTTTGCTTTAACGTTTTGTCTCCATTTTTTTCTATTTTTATTCAAGTATTTATGCTATATTATTGCTTTATAAGAGCCTTGCCGAGTTATGATGTGTTTTGGCTTCACTTGGATGGAGCCCATCAAGTCTTTAATATAATGATATATATATATAGGGATAAAAGATTGTAAATGAAATTTTATCTCTTTATAGAGCCATTATTAGATAGGTGAAATACCTTCAAAAATATTTTGTAAATGGTATACTGAATGATTGCAGGATTGTTAAGTATTACTTTTGTTGTTGTTGCTTTAAACATTTTTTTATTGTTATATTATGTATTTGCTACTCAATAACTACTTCCTTGTTTTTCATGTGATTTCACCACTGTCTGGTGTCGGGGAAACTCTCATCAAATATATATATCTCACAGTAGCTACAATGTTATCAACAAAAAATAAGATATAAAATTAAAAAATCACAATCCATTCCCTACTTGCGTTATTTTTAGCCTACCATCATCAGAAGGTGGGCTGTAGATGTACGAGTTGCCTCACTTGTCAATGATCCTGCATCTGTCTTTGCAACTGCTACTTCTCAAAAACTACTTGAAATGATGAAGTTTTCTATGCACAATCTCCTTGCGCCAAACTTTTGCATGCTCCAGTTTGTGATGGATCAGAAAAGCACATTCGCTGCAAAGTAGCCAACTTGGATTTTACATGTGAAGTTTGTCAACACTTATCTTCAGAAAATCCTTAATGGATTTAGATAAAGTGGTTGCCAGGCAGCAGTCTTGTTTTGCATTACATGTTCCTACTGCTAATTCTCCGGATCTACCTAACGGATCATGATGAAAATACCTGTTGTCTTTGCGTGGTTTGATGGTTCAAGTTTCATTATGATCATAATTAATAATAATAATAATTCGAGGTTCTTATATACCACTTTATCACAACCTAGTTTGTAGGTCGTCTAAAAGCGGTTCACAAATTATTATCCGTGGTAACAGGGCCTTTGCAACCAGCAAATAGCTTTCTCAACTTCCTGGGGAGCATACAGCAGGTGCTGCCATTTCGGCGCTCACAGCTAGCATTCAACATTTCTAGCACTGCCCAACCATGTACTCATTTACAGCTGAGTAGACTGGAACAAGCAGAGTAAAGTATCTTGCTCAAAGGTACAACACAGTGCAGGGACTTGACTCAAACCCGCAACCCTCCGGTCACGAGCCTGCCATCCTACCACTAGACTACCATGCCTCCTAAGTATGCCTACATTAATATTGTAGGTGTTTTGTTGTCACTATCACAGATCTAGCTTTGAGGATGTGACATTACTTGAATTTGACCTAGATTTACATTGCATGTGTCGTCGATGCAGCAGAAGGCGATTGTCCTTCCGAAACACATGGTCTTCTTGTACTTTTTCTCCTTGTTGGTTTAGTTTGGTTTTGCTCTGCGTCTTATTAACAGCGTTGGTCATTTAAGGACGAGCCAGATTTTGGTGGTGGAGGAAAATAGATTACCTGGGGAAAATCCATCGACCTACGACCAGTACCTGGCAACTGTCCCATGTACACATCTAACTCACGACCCAGGAGTGGAGGGCTAGTGATTGTAGACGCCTTAACCACTTGGTCACAGCGGCACCCTGGCTCTCCATGTAATCTTCTCCTTGTACATTTTTATCAATTTAGAGTTAGAATCACTGTTTAGTTGATTCTATAATTGGTATTTTCTTGTTGTTATTTTTCACTCGAGTTTACACACTATAACACCTGCTGTGAGTATAACTATTTAGGATCGATGAGTCGTTTGATGTCGTCTTTGAAGGTCAATTCGTTAATATTGAGATCAGTACTTAGAAACTCCCCTGCCTCACTCCCTGGAAGATGTTGATTCTCTCCAATCTTTTTTCATACCACTCAACTTTGATTTTTAGCCCACCATCATCTGATGGTGGGCTATTCAAATCACCCTGCGTCCGTGGTCCATCATCCGTCCTTAAACAATTCTTGTTATCGCTCTTTCTCGGGAAGTACCAGCTTTTGAGACTGATCGAATGAACAACATGGCCGACAGGCAGCCATCTTTGAATTTGATAGTGAAAGTTTGTTATCGCTATTTCTCGGGAAGAACTAGAGGGATCTTTCTCAAATTATATATGTAGGTTTCCTTTGGTCCTTAGCTGTGCAGGGCAACTTTTGAGACTGATCAAATAAACAACATGGCCGACAGGCAGCCATCTTTGATTTTGATAGTGAAAGTTTGTTATCGCTATTTCTCAGGAAGCACGATAGGGATCTTTCTCAAATTTTATATGTAGGTTTCCCTTGGTCCTTAGCTGTGCAGGGCAACTTTTGAGACTGATCGGATAAACAACATGGCCGACAGGCAGTCATCTTTGATTTTGATAGTGAAAGTGTGTTATCGGTAATTCTCGGGAAGTACCAGAGGGATATTTCTCAAATTATTAATGTAGGATCCCCTTGTTCCCCAGTTGTTGCAGCAGTGCCTGAAATGGACGGTTGCCTGCTCGCCTGCTCGCCAAAAGTTGTCAAAAGTGAGGTAGTCACTGACCCAACAAAAATAGTTTGGGCATCTGTCGAAAAATTAATGAATACCTGGGTAAAAGAAATTATAGTCCCTTCCACATTAACTGGGGGGTAGTACATTGTTCAGTTGTTTTACTTCGATTTGAATCGAACTGTCTGTGATTTAGAAAATGTGATGTTTTTATTTTCAGATTTCCTATATAAATGCTGCCAGGGTGTCTTCTTTGAAGTTTTGTGTATTTCTTTTTTGGGAAGACCTGAATTGAGTGAATCATGTCAGGTTATAATTAGGGTTGAAGAATTAAAAATATAATGTTTTATTCTGTTTTACATATTACAAACATTGTCATGTTATATGTAATTTAAATGTGCTAAAGCATGGTATTAATTAAATGCTGTGGAAATATTTCTTCCCAAATTTATTTGGGCCACCAATATGTTTTTGGGCCAGTGCTTCAAATAATTTACTCTCCCCCAAAATAAATTGGGGGCCAGCCAATGCAGGTTTCCCACTATCCTTTACTGTTCATGTTTACCTTTAAAACTGATCAGTTAAACAAAATGGCCTACCGACAGCCATCTATGATTTTTGACATTGAAGGTTCGTTAAGTAATATTTCTCAGGGATCTTTCTCAAATTTTGAGAATCTCATATTTTTCCCTTGTTGTGCATGTTATATTTTGAGACTGATCATAAAAACAAAATGACTAAAGGAAGAACTAAACTGATCTTGCTCATATTGCAATGATTGATTCTATTTCTTTCACATTAAGTACTGTACTAGTAAATATGTGAAATGACAAACTCACTTTGAAGGTTGTCTTTCATACACATCAGTATTAAGATTAGATCAAAAGTTACCTCAAGATGCATTTACTCCATTACTGTTAACATGACACGATCAAACAGATTAGAGGAAAGAAGAGATCGAACTGACAATTAAAGAACTAATGAAGATTACAGTGGTGGGTGTCAAGATCCCTCTGGGATCTCTTGCTTTGTGTTTGTATGCATCTCCTCGGGGACTGTCCGAATTTCTACTTTGACTTTTGTAAAGTGTTTAAAACACCATAATTTAAACACAAAATTGTTAAAA